GTTAAAATAGCCAATCTCAAAATGTCACATATTGTATGCTGCCAGTTATATATTATTCAGAAAATGGCAAAATTATATAGAGTGGGAGAAATGATTCGCATTTTCTAGGCATTGAGGGTGGTGGGTGGGAAAGGGTGGGTGTGACAATGAAGAGGTAATACGCTGGAGAGCTTCTTCACTGAACTGTGTTTTTCTTAGAAGGCATTTCTCTTTTTCTATCTCATGCCAGAGTACTTAGTGAATGACAGTCATTTCTCAGCTGTTGCTAATGACACTGAAGTACTAAAATTTTTATTCAGAGAAGAGCAATTTCTTTAACTCACCAAATTATGGCTCTAAATTATTTGACCTTTTATCAACTGTTATAGCAGCAGAATTTGGGAGTTATCATACAGAAAATATAGTTATCTTTAAGATCCTTAAAGAAGCTAAGGAGCGGGAGGAGAAAGAACAGCCCTAAGCTCACATGGAAATGTCAAAATATCATCTGGCTTGAGCTCTTTTATCTGAACCTAATAGTGAGCCAGCACTTTGATTTTGGGGACTCAGCTCTGCTGCTTGGCAGCACTGTGATCTTGGGCAAGGTATTTAGTACTGCTAAGCCTCAGTTTTCCTTAATAATGGCTCTTACAGCATTGAATTGTTGTGAAGCCTGAGTGAGAGTGTGCATATAATTACCGCCACATAGTAAAAACCTCAAAGAGTCAGCATTAAAAAAAAAATTTAATATCCTAAAATTTTTGAAATGGAGTAATTTGCTCTATCACAGTTTTAGGTGACTTTATGATTTTCACAGGTGCCAAAGGACATTTGCCTAGACCACGAGTAGGAGAAAAATTACCCTAACTGAATGGGTGGCTCTGTCACTACTTATGAGGATAATTATCTTAAACAGGGGTTTGAACTAGGTAAATACTCTGGTGTCTTTTAATTCTAAAATTACTCAGGTAACATCAGCAATTATTTGCTTCCCAACCACTGCCTGCATGACCCCCTGGAGATCTACAATTACAGTCTGGAGAAAGTAAACTGTCTTCTGGGTACATTATATCCCTGTCACCCCACCAGCCAATGGTAATTGTATACCTGGTACCTGTGTGTGATAGAGATGAGAGAGGGGGCAGAAAAGAGACACCCCTGTCCCCCATGAGAGTAGGCCAAGCCCTGGGCCCTCCTGCCATTTTCTGAACAACACTATGAGAACTGGTGTTATTGTTCCATTTTAGAAACAAGGCCACTCAGTTAGAGTTGAAGTAAAATTGAACCCAATCTATAAAGCCCTTGGTCATTGCAAATAGGGCTCAGCCTGTCTACTATTAAAAAAGTAAAAATACTCAATACACACACACGCACACACTGTGGAGGCAGATCTGGGTGTTACATGCAGGCCGCATCCCATCACAACATCGTCATTGGTCACCTGTCAACATTGGTCTAATATTCCTCTGCTAATTGGAATGTTCGCAGCTCGGATGCTTTTACATTGCAGTGGGGGCTGTGGGGAACAATTAAATGTCTGGAGTCTGCTAAGGATTATTAAGTGCTAGCAATTGCCCTCTCAGGTAATTGCTTTTGAGCCATAAAGGGACAGTTAAATAAGCACTTCCATTTTAATGTCATTTTGAAGAGATAAAAAGGATTCTAAAATTCCGTAATGTCTAAATTTGGTACTGCTGTTCAGGAGGTGAAGGAACTTTACAGTCATGTGCTTTTTATAAAGGGATAATTGCCTGCTTCAAAAACTTCTTCACTTAGAATTCTTGGGGCTAAACTGTAGAAGCTCCACAATGTAGGAGACCCCGTTTTCCAGCCACAGATGAATTCCTTGCACAGGAACTCTGTCCCCCATGCAGCCAGACTCCAGTGACAATGTTTCTAAGTGCCAGGTAAATTTTCATGCAGTAAAAAGGTATCATTTTTGAAGCGTATCTCACAGCAGTGGCTAAGCTTCCTGTCACTGTGAAACCTTAAGGTTTGCATTGTTCCTTCCTCTTCTGATCTGCGACCTCACCTTATCAACTGCCTTGTCCTCCTCAGCACTTAAATGTCTTTGCTTCTCTTCCTCCCACCTTAAAAAGACACATATTAAAACTAAAAATTGAAAGCTTCCCTGGTTCCTGCCTCTCCATATAGCTGGTTTTCTCTTCCTTCAAGGTCAGCTTGCAGCGTGATCTCCATTCTTTAAGCCTCCACGTCCCATGCATTTTAAAAACACAATAGCCAGCCTTCTTCCATCCTCTTCTCCCCTCCCCCACACAGACGCCCTCCACTGAAAGCGTTTCCATTGCATTCTCTGATGACCGCCTAGTTGCCTTACCCTACAGATGCCTACTTCAAGGTCTTAACTAACGTGTGGTCTTTGACACTCCGATCACTTCCTAGAACTCTCTAGAACTTCCTAAAATTCTCTCCCCTGATTCTCCTTCACCCATCTCGTCATCCCTCTGAGTTTCCTTCAAAGTCCTTAAAAGCTGGGGTTCCCCAGAGTCCTCCAGAAAGAACTCTCTACATGCACTCTAGGATGTGATCCTACTTACTCCCAAGGCTTCAGCTTCCGCGTTTAAACTAACCCCTCCTGACCCACTCATCCAAATGTCTCAAATCAGCAACTGTCTTCAGGACACACACTTTTTTTAAGTTCTGGGGTACATGTGCAGAACCTGCAGGCTTGTTACATAGGTACTCATGTGCCATGGTAGTTTGCTGCATCCATCACCCCATCATCTACATTAGGTATTTCTCCTAATGTTATCCCTCCCCTATCCCCCCACCCCCTGCTGCCCCTGCTCTAGCCCCCCACCCCAGGACAAGACCTGGTGTGTGATATTGCCCTCCCTGAGGACACACACTTTTTAGGCCTACTTGGCATCTCCTCTTGGTTACCTCCTGGGCACCTTAAACTCATTCCATCGAAAACATCTGCACCCACCACCACCTCCTCTTCCCTAATGCTCTCATCTCAATAAATGGCTCCATAACCTAACTGTCAAGCCCAGAAACCTACACATCACCCCAACAACTAAAAGCACATAATGTGAGTGTTCAGAGGAAGATTTCAGAAGCAAACTGCCTGAGTCTGAATCTCAGCTCTCCCACGTATCAGCCTTGTGTGTCATCTCGGGTTAGATTTTCACCTCTCTGGGCCTCTGGTTTCTCACCTGTAAAATGAAGATAATCACAGGACCCGCCTCCCAGTGTTGCAACCATGGTTTGAAAAGCTAAGTTTTTGTAAAGCACCTCATCGTATAGGTGTTTGTTTACCTCTTCTCCTGTTTTAATATTTACATAGGCCATAATATTCCTTTCAGTGTAACAGCAGGGAGTATTTTCCATTGTCCTTAACATCCAAATTCCTCATTTTTGCCTTCCTCATCTCACCCCAGCCCCAGCTCCAGTGCTCGGCCCAGGTAAAGAAAACACCCTGAATATCCTTGTGCTCTCATCACTGGGGCTCTTCAAATGTTCTTCCTTCTGCCTAGAAACATGCTTTCCCCCAGTTCCCAGCCCCTTTTGGCTGGCCAGCTCCTACTAATTCTTCAAGTTTCTACTTGACTGTCATTGCTCTAGCAAGTCTTCTTCCAGGACTGATTTAGTGTCCAGCTATGACTCTCCACACCACCCTATAATTTATTTTGCATAGCATGTACGCTGTATTGTGATTTATTGTAAATGATTCTTTGTCCATTTCCCTGCTTAAGCTGTATTCTCTGTAAAGGAAGGCCCTAGGTCTCATTTACTTCTCAACCTCATTGCTTGGAATATCCTGGGTGCTGAGCACATGAATGAACCCGTACATGCACCCAGGATATCCCGAGCAGAGCTTATATCAAATAAAGAAATCATATAGAATATGGATTAGTAAACTCTTGAGAATGCGGTGGAGGTGGCCTAGAAAATTCACAATGTGATCTTGTGAGGACAGAATTGCATGATATTTTTTAGCATTAAATTTTGAATCCTCAGTGATAGGCTTCATTGCAGTTTCAAATATAGTAGTCAGGCCAGGAGTGGTGGCTCAAGCCTGTAATCTCTGCACTTTTGGAGGCTGAGGCAGGGGGATCACCTGGGGTCAGGAGTTCGAGACCAGCTTGACCAACAAGGAGAAATCCTGTCTCTACTAAAAATACAAAATTAGCCAGATGTGGTGGCACACGCCTGTAGTCCCAGTTGCTCAGGAGGCTGAGGCAGGAGAATTGCCTGTACCCAGGAGGCGGAGGTTGCAGTGGGCCAAGATCACACCACTGCACTCCAGCTTGGGCAACAAGAGTGAAACTCTGTCTCAAAAAATAAAATAAAATAAAAACAAATATAGTAGTCAGTTTTTAGAGTAGAGTAATACTCCAGGTCTGCGTTTTTCAACTTTTTGAGCCCTTTGTCCTGATAAACCAAACAAATTACATCCTCACCCCCACCCCATCGAATTTGACAATGACTGTGGAAGAGCTTCCTCTGCATATTTTTACCAGCCAAAGTTTTATTTAGCTAGTTGTTAGAATATGAAATATGCTTTTTCATGGCCAGGGGCAGTGGCTCCCAATACTTTAGGAGGTCAAGGTGTGCAGATCCTTGATGTCAGGAGTTCCAGACCAGCCTAGCCAACATGGTGAAACCTTGTATCTGCTAAAAATACAATTAGTTGGGCATGGTGGCAAGCGCTTGTAATCCCAGCTACTCGGGAAGTTGAGGCAGGAGAATCATTTGAACCCAGGAGGCAGAGGTTGTAGTGAGCCAAGATTGGGCCACTGGACTCCAGTCAGGGTGACAGAGACAGACTCCATCTCAAAAAAAAGGGTATTGAATATGCTTTTTCAATCTATGACATTCTCAGAGGTCATGCATTTTTCTCCACATCTCCTAAACCCCAGTGTTTAAAATAAAAAGAGACTCGTGTATTTTCTGAATGAAACAGTGTATACCTAAACAGTGTGGATTTTTACTTGTAGGATGCTTCTTGTCCTTTTGGAGTTGTCTTTTAATGATTGAGTTGTCTTCTAAACCAGGTGCAGTTACATGATAGACAATGTGATTCTGCTGATGAATGGTGCATTGCAGAAAAAATCCGTGAAAGAAATTCTGGGGAAGTGCCACCCCTTGGGCCGTTTCACAGAAATGGAAGCTGTCAACATTGCAGAGACACCTTCAGATCTCTTTAATGCCATTCTGGTGGAAACACCATTAGGTAGGAACACTTAAGTAATTTTGTAGCTGCTTGTGTATATTATCACAGTCATTAGAAAATGTACTATTTTTTCTTCCCTGTGGTTCAAAAGAAAGTGTACTTTGAATTCACAATTTTTTTTTCCGTGAATACAGTAGCATACCACGCGATTCCTGGAAGTGGCAGAGACATTAAGGAATCATCTAGTTCAGTTCCCTCATTTTTTCAGATCAAGACAAGTGAGGCAACCTGCTCAGATCACATGTGAACCATCTATAGCAGAGAAGGAATTGGGGCTCATCTCTCAACCTTCAAACCCTCACTTTATACCAGGTCATAGCAAATGAATAACAGAACTTGTCATTCTCCAAAAAAATTAATTTTCCAGTTGGGTTTTATAGGATTAGTTTCTTGTCCTTCCATTTAAATTTCTGTCTAGATAAAGTTGCATGTAAGAAGCATTTTGTTTTAGGAAGTTTAAAAATGTCATTTTTCTGAGATGCTCATGGGTATCTGTCAAATCATCAGAAGCAATGGCGAAATGATTGTTAATTTCATTATAACTTGGCACTAACAAGAGTTGTAATATTCAAAATTCTAAAGATATAGTTATATAAGCATCATTATCTAATATTGTCAGGAAATCTGGATAGAAGCAATTCACTATTGATCATTTGTCAAAATAGTTGCTCTTTAAAATAGACATTTTAAAAAGGAAGAAAATATATATTTGTGTTGTCATTGAACACCCAATGTTAAAGTAGCCTAGGCTGGTCAAGAGACGTTGAGACTGCAATCAGACAGCCATGGGCATGATGCCAGGCTCTGCACTAACAAGGTGACTAGGAGCAATTCAGTTCACCCCAGTTTCCTCATTTTGGAAATAATGCATCTTTTTATAATAGAGTTTTAAAAACAAAACACACTTTTAATCACAACTCAATGCCTGGCACATACTAAAGTTGCAAATGATAAATGTTATTATTAAATAATGCAGGAAAGTAAGCCTTAAGTGAGTAGCTCCAAGGTATTGTGAAGGTTAAGTTAAAGCATGTTCAGTGTTTAGTGTAGTGAGTGCGGGTTAGGGCAGCAGTCCCCAACCTTTTTGGCCCCAGGGATCGACTTCGTGGAAGACAACTTTTCCATAAAGGGAGAGAGGGGATGGTTTTGGGATGATTCAAACATATTACATTTATTGGGCACTTTATTTCTATTATTATTACACTGTAATATTAATGAAATAATTATACAACTCACCATAATGTAAAATCAGTGGGATCCCTGAGCTTGTTTTCCTGCAACTAGACAGTCCCATCTGCAGGTGATGGGAGACATTGACAGATCATCAGGCATTAGACTCTCATAAGAAGCACACAAACTAGATCCCTCGCATGCATAGTTCACGATAGGGTTTGTGCTCCTACGAGAATCTATTGCTGCCACTGATCTGACAGGAAGCAGAGCTCAGGCGGTAATGCAAGTGATGGGGAGTGGTTGTAAATATGATTGAAGCCACTCTCTGGCCTGCTGCTCACCTCTGCTGTGTGGCTCAGGTCCTAACAGGCCATGGACTGATGTTGATCTGTGGCTTGGGGGTTGGGGATCCCTGGTTTAGGGCTTACACATGATAATTGCTTAAAAAGTAATAGCTGTTTTCATCCTCGTTACTATTAGCCTATTTAGTTGAGTATAGGGATTGCAACTCTGCAGTTTTCTTGTCAGGAGTGAACAGAAGGTGGTGTGTTCAGGATACATTTTCTACAGTTTATCATCTTGCTTAAGATTCATTTTTTGGTATGGGAATTTCTGCTTCCAGCTCCATTCTTTCAAGACTGCATGTCTGAAAATGCTCTAGATGAACTGAATATTGAATTGCTGCGCAATAAACTATACAAGGTAATGGTTTTCCCAAATATTGTGTTTTTCTTGATGACATAATATATTGTGACTAGAGTTCTCTATTAAAACTCACTTTGCTCATTAACCAACTTCTGCAGTTATGAAACTGTGCATATTCAGAATACAGCTTTTATAGCTCTAGCCTGTCCTCTAGTTAAATGCATGCATGTCAGCTTCCCCTAGCCAGCAAGATATTTGCAAGGAAATAACATGCCCTATTCATGCATATTCCTAGCTCCTTGCATGGCACGTGGAACATAAAAGGTATTTAGACGTTGGTAGGTGAATCAGTGGGGTGAAAAATATCAACCCATTTAAAGCAACCAGCATACATAGTAAACCTTCTGTTATGTAGTGCTCATTTCTCTCCTCAATCCTGTTAGTACCCCTGAATCTCACAGCTAATTTGCTCACACAATTTCAATCTACAGTGTGCAGCATACCAGAATGAACAATTTGCGTATGCTGCTTCATAGGTACCACTTTGCATGATCTGACTGTCTGGACTGTGCTGCCACCATTTGAGTAGCTGTAATAGACTACAGGTTGAGCAAAATCTGTCCATTTTTACTCAAACAACCATAGCCTCTTTGGACACTCACAGAGTAACTGAATATATACTGCCATGCCATGTATATAGCATGCTGTGTTCAAACATGTGGTCCTTTCAAAGGCATTGTATTGCAGGCAGTGTTCCTTTTGGTAAAGTGCCTTATGGGCTTACAGGAGGCATCTTTTAGAAGTAACTGACAGAAGGCACTGTTCTAAATAATTTATAGGCCTTAACTCACTTAATCCACCTGGCAAAAATATGATGTTTATGCTATCTGCATTCCTCAGAGGAGAAAACTGAGGAATGGAGAGGCAAAGGTTTCTTGGAAGAAGTCAGTTAGCTAAAAAGTATGAGTTGGGATCCAAGCTCAGGCAGTCTGACCCCACAGCCTTTCCCATAAAGCTCCATGCTTAAAGCCAACTCAAACGTGCCTCTACAAGAGATTAAGTGTCAGCATAGGACTGAATCTAAAATTATTTACTGATCTCAGAAAAGAACTTGGCAGTCTTGTTAAAATAGCAAGAATTAACCATATGAAATAATCCAAAACCATGCAAAAAAAAAAGTGCTTGTTAAGTAATTATAAGTTATGATAAATGCAGTTTTGTCCTTTTCTGGGGTTCTTCTTTAGTCTGTGCAACATGCTGCAATGTGAAAGCTTCTACCAAATTTATTATAAAATATCTCCCTATTGGAGAAGTAATTCAATTTCCATTAAAGCATTTAATAAACCATGAAAAGCTGATCTAGACATTTTCAAAAGGAATGTATATTCATTATATCACTTTATGATCTTTTTTCTTTTCAAGTCTTACCTTGAGACATTCTATAAATTCTGTAAGAATCATGGTGATATCACAGCAGAAGTTATGTGTCCCATTCTTGAGGTAAGAAAGAGTCCTTGAATTTGTTTATGCTAAATGAGGTACTTACATATTTTTCATTGTTTTAACCTTACTTGTATTCTCTTATCTTTGAAGTTTTTAAATCTAGAAATAAAACAAGCAGTATATTTTACTATATATAATATTTGATGTATTTGGTTAAGAGTTGTATTTTCCAAGTTTTCTACATGGAAGAGTTATTTTGGAATTAGAAAATAATTATGTGTACACAGATTTGATTATGATTCATTTTCATGTAGTATGTAAAGAATAGATTATAAACAATAAAAATTTAGTATACTATTGTCACCAGAAAAGGGTCCCAATCCAGACCCCAGGAGAGGGTTCTTGCATCTCACACAAGAAAGAGTTTGGGTACACAGAGTAAGTGAAAGCAAGTTTATTAAGAAAGTAAAGGAGTAAAAGCATGGCTACTCCATAGGCAGAGTAGACCCAAGAGCTGCTGGTTACCCATTTTTATGGTTATTTCTTGATTATATGCTGAATAAGGGATGGATTATTCATGCCTCCCCTTTTTAGATCATATAGGGTAACTTCCTGACATTGCCATGGCATTTGTAAACTGTCGTGGTGTTGGTGGGAGTGTAGCAGTAAGGAGGACCAAGGTCGCTCATCACCATCTTGGTTTTGGTGGGTTTTAGCTGGCTTCTTTACTGCAAACTGTTTTATCAGCAAAGTGTTTATGACCTGTATCTTGTGCCAACCTCCTATGTCATCCTGTGACTTAGAATGTCTAACCATCTAGGAACGCAGCCCAGTAGATATCAGCCTTATCTTACCAGCCCCTATTCAAGATGGAGTTGCTCTGGTTCAAATGCTTCTGACACTATGAGCAATGGATGGACTATAGGCACTCAATAAAAAATCACCGAAATTCCTTCCGTTGAGGGAACATTGGGCAGCTAGGAACCCCCACAACTTGGCACCAAAAGTCCACTATGGCTTCAACCACAGGGATATTGTACATTATAAATCCTAAAATAAAGACTGCCCCAAGCAACCCATGAGCATTCCAGCTTTCAGTAGAAAGACTTCTTGGTTATGTGATTCACAGTTGGTAAGCTCATTTAATTATGTGTCAAACGCCACCATTGGTGTCTACCTCTCTAGTTGATGGTATACTCTTGTTAATTCCTCTTAATCACCACAGATTTCATCTATGCTTAGGAGTCCTCTTGCATAAGAATGTTGATCTGCAGATGCATGGGAGATTCAGGGTGGAGTTCAGAAGGATCTGTGGGGCATCCTGTGCATAGTTTGTACTAAGTACTTTACATCCATCCCTCTTGCTAGTAAATAATTTCCTAATTCACTTAAAAAGAAAATAATAGCACTTTGTCCAGTTCTAAGCCCTTACTTTGCCCTGTGAAATTAAATTTTATCTAAAGAATATTTTTAATCATTACATTATCTGGTACAGTGACTTCACTGGTGGGTGGAATTCTGATTTCAAGAAAAGTCTAATAAACATTACCCTTTAGGTAAAAAGAAAAAAAAAAAACTTAATCTGCAAATATTTCAACCTAATGTTTTGAAACCACATATGATAAAACTACCTCCCCTCAAAACATCTAATCATTAAAATTTTACTTGCTTGATGACTTGTGATATAGAAAAAAGAAACAAAAAAGTTTTATAGTTAAAGATACTTTGCTATTCCTTGTTGATATTTTTGTTTGTTTGTTTTGATTTTTGAGACAGAGTCTCACTCCGTTGCCCAGGCTGAAGTGCAGTGGCATGATCATGGCTTACTGTAGCTCCAACCTCTTGGGCTCAAATGATCCTCCTACCTCAGCCTCTTGAGTAGCTGGGACCGCATGCACATGCCACCACGCCTAGCTAAGTTTTTTCATTTTTTGGATAAGATCAGGTCTTGGCCAGGCACAGTGACTCATGCCTATATTCCCAACACTCTGGTAGGCTGAGGCAGGTGGAGCACCTGAGGTCAAGAGTTCGAGACCAGCCTGGTCAACATGGTGAAACCTGTCTCTACTAACGATACAAAAAAAAAAAATTAGCTGGATGTGGTGGTGCACATCTGTAATCCCAGCTACTTGCAAGGTGAGGCACAGAAGCCATGAAGGTTGAACCTGGGAGGTGGAGGTTGCAGTGAGCTGAGATCATGCCACTGCACTCTAGCCTGGGCGACAGAGTGAGACTCCATCTCAAAAAAAGAAAAAACGAAGCAAAGGCCGCTGTATGTTGTCTCAGCCTGATATTCTTAACATATAGCCAAAACACTTGTGAACTGAAAATCTTATCACTAAAGTCTCCAAAAAATATTTTTGCCCTTATCTATATTACACAGAAAGTGGGTATGGAATAAATAACATTTTTTATGGCATAGTAAACGACAGGATGAAAACTAGTCTCTCAGTCATGCTAATCATGTAACATGAGTTACTAGCGACCCTATGAGGCCCTCTCCTTTCTTTTCATAAATTCAACTACTAGCCACACTATAAGAAGCCATATTGTCTATGGCTCAAAAGTAGAATTTCTACTCAGCATAATTCTTGTGGTTTAGAAATGGTTTGTATACTTTATACCTGAGAAATATGTGAAATAAAAGTCATATCAAGACTCATAACCTTGTCAAAGGTATACAATAGCACTATTAATAGATAACACTTGCTACATGCTAGATGCTATCCTGAGTGCTTTATATACATGAATTCAGTTAGACTTCAAAACCACGCAGAATATGTAGTCTAGTATCTATTCTTCAGAAGGAGCAACTGACACAAAGAGAAAGCTAGTAACTTACCTGATGTCTCACAGGATTTGAATGCAGACAGTTGGCTCTGGTACCTATGTGCTTATCCACTCTGTCAAAGTGTCTCTGCATTAAATTCACCATTCAGAATTCTTTTATATGAAATAAGTGCTAATTCATAAGCAAGATGATACTGTGTGTACTCTAAAAATTGGTAAATAGGTAAGGTAAGAATTATGTCTTTATAATAGGTAAGAGATAGGTAAGAATGATGTCTTTGTGATCCTTGGTAATGTAAAAAAAAAAGATAATGTCAGAAAAACGCTTGTCACTGGGATGATTTGATCGAACAACTGTATGCCCAGTGTTCTCATTGTACCTTTCCAATCTTCATGGTATCAGATTAGATTAATTTTTTTTCTAAATAGCATTAAAAAAAAAAAAAAAAAAAAAACCCAGCTAGGCACGATAGTTTATGCCTGTAATCCCAGCACTTTGGGAGACCCATGCAGAAGAATCACTTGAAGCCAGGAATTTGAGAACAGCCTGGGTAACATAGCAAGACCCCACCTCTACAAGAAATACAGAAATTAACCGGGCATGGTGGAACACACCTGCAGTCCTGGCTACTCAGGAGGCTGAGGTGAGAAGATTGACTCAGCCCAGAATTTCCAGGTTACAGTGAGTCATAAGCCACTTCACTCCAGGCTGGGTGACAGAGTGAGACCCTGTCTCTAAAAAATAAAAATACACTGAACTATTTTTATTTATATAGAAATATCAGCTACACAGGGCATGCAGTTATAACAGTTATAATGATATGATCAAAGGGTGTTCGTCAGCTTTACATAAATACTTTGATCATGTAATTACCTCCCTTTTATTTGTGTAACTATAGAGCACTTACAGTTTGTAAGTTCCATGTATGTTCTCATTTAGTCTCATTTGCCCGGAGACTTCAAGAGGCTTAATATGGTAGAAGAGATCATCAATCTCAGTTTACATGTGAAAATTGAAACTAATTACAAGATTGTAACTTCATATAAAAACAAAGAAATTGACTTAGGTTCAAGGCAAATGCACTGTAGTATAATATTTGCCTTTTACTCCTACTTTTCAATCTATATGGTTAATAGGACAGTGGAAAACAAGCATAAATTATGTTTGTTTGATTTCTACTGGTCAGTGCATGTGCTGACCAGTAAGCTAAGCTTACTAAGCTCCATTCCAGTTCACTTCACTCTTTTCCATTGCCATTGACACCTCCGCCCACTGCCTCCCGCCAGGTGTGACTTCTTCCCATAAGGAACTGGCGAGAATGTATGACCCAATCAGTCGATCAGTCGGAGTTTGTGATGTGCAATTGACAGTGATTTTGAGCAAGCCAATAGTACATTGCTATCTCTTGCAATAACAATAAAAAATAAGCTCTAGTTTTAACATGAGTAAGTTTTTGTAGGGAACAGTAAAAGGAAAGGCATGGGATGGCCAACATATACCATACCACACAGCATGCCAACTCTCTGCAAGAAACAGGAGCTACGTCACACTAACACCAGCCCATTTGGTCTCCTCTAATCAAAGGCATGTCAAACTCTGCTTAGGGATGGTCAAAGAACAGTCCTTTTCTAATTCTAAAATTATGGTTTTTTTCACTAAGAAGATAATACACACGCTTACACAAAAGAGCCTCCAGACTAGAAGAACTGGTAGATACATAGTCAGTTATGATAAAAGGAAAATGGAATATAATCAGGGTTCAAAGGGAATCATATCTAATTAGAGAAGAAATAGAAGGGCTTGTTATGAAAAAGATGGCATTTGATGGGACGTGAACGCAGGGAGGATTTCAGCATGCAGAGTTATGGAACAGAGCACATGCATGGTAGGCTGAGGGAAGAAGTGGTAACAAGGACAAGGAGCTAGAAGGAGGATGGAAGGCTCAGATAACCTACTGTATCAGCCAAAGTCCTTTCTTATATTCATCTTCTCTCCTCAGCTACCTGTCCTTTCTGCCTCTCCAATTGTTTTCCCAGTGACTGAGCCATGACAATTCCTCCAAAATGTCCTGCTTTATCTCCTGCCGCTCCTTCCTCTGGCCTGGCCTCTGCTGTTTGCACATCTGCAGTGCTGCCTACCTTGCCTAATTCTCTTCGTAAGATCATAATATTTTAGAACCAGAGAGAGAATTAAGGAACATCTGGGACAATTACTTCCACTGTTGCTCTTCCTTCCCTAATTTTTGTTTTAAGGTTTCTTATTGCCATTAAATCTTCCCCTTGCATTTCTTCTCTTATCTCTGGAAGGTCTAAAATTACTGACAGGACTGGTTATATTCAGTAGCCAGAGGCAGCTGCCTTTGCTTCCAGATAAAGCCACTCCCTACTTTTCAGTTCACCCATAATCTCCATAAGAGCAATCAAAAGGATCAGATGGAAGTAACTCTCACTCTTCTGATAGAAAACACCTGTTCTCGCATAAGAGTTCCAGTGAGACCTGTGGCAAGTTGGGTTTTGTTATCTGTTAACCAGTCAAAAGCTGATTAGAGGATAGCATACAGCAATTCTTTTCAGCTTTCACGTGCATACAAATAGCCTAGGAATCCTGTGAAAATGCAGATTCTGGTTTAGTAGGGCTGGACTGTGACTTGAGACTCTGCACTTCTAACATGTTTCCAGGTGATGGCAAATCTACTGAGCCACAAAACGTTGCTTTGAATGCTATTCAACATCATGGAGAATGTTAGAGAATTTCAAAAGTATAGGATCACACATCACTCTGTTGGATTCAGTAAGTAGTTAAGACTTCCTTATGTGTCAGGCATTGGCTATTCAAAAATAAAAAAAAGGCCAGGCATGGTGGCTCATGCCTATAATCCTAACACTTTAGAAGGCCCAGGAGGGAAGATTTGTTGAGCTTAGGTGTTCAAGACCAGCCTGGGCAATACGGCGAAATACTATCTCTATAAAAAGAATTAGCAGGGCATGATGGCATGCGCCTATAGTCCCTTCTGCTTGGGAGGCTGAGGTGGGAAGATCAACTGAGCCCTGGGAGGTTGAGGCTGCAGTGAGTCGTGACCCCACCACTGCACTCCAGCCTGGATGACAGAGTGAGACCCAATCTCAAAATGAAAATAATAATGATAAAAAGAACAATGAACAAGTGAGACATGGTTCTTCAAAGATTTTAGAGTGTAGTGGGGAGAAATAGAGGCACAGATTTCAAAATGAAATGGTAAGTACTGGGCATTTGAGGTACCTAGAGAAGAGCGGCTTAGCCCAATGAAACCATGGCAAGCACCCATGGTAGGCAGAGGAGCCCCTGAAGGAGAGACTGAGATGGAATGACCGGCATTGATAGTAGGAGAACCAAGAGACAGTAGAAACACAGAGCTCGAAGGAATAGAAACAAAATTTCAAGAAAGACTTGAGTGTTCAGACGAAATAGGAATGATGAGGGAAAGGGAGCCCAGGTGCCTAGTGGTGCTCGGCATGGAGAAGACAGGCTGTGAGTATGTGTTGACCTACCTTGAAGATCGTGCAGTCACACTCCAGCATCTTACAAACAAGAAAACTTCTTGACAGAAAGATAACTTGCCCCAACCCACATAGTCCTTAGCTACAGTCTTAGATTTATGATACCTCACCTAGGACACCAAAAAAGAAAACCAAAACCGTGAAAGTATAAACAAATGGTAGGTAGCACACAATTTCATTATGTAAAAAGTTATGGTGACATTGACAACTAGGGAGGGATATGACCAGATATGGCATCACTTTTTGTCTCAAACACCGTGCTGGGAACTCCCACTTATTTTTACCTGGTTCTGTCCCTGAAAGAACCCTAAGAAATAGGTATTATTCTCCTTTTTATGGAAGAGACACTTGTGACGCTAGTGGCCTACGCGATAGAGACTCATGAGGGTGCCCAGGAAATGAGGCTTAGTGGGTTTCAGGAGTCATAGGCCATCGCTGCTGCTGTGTGATCCTTCTCTGACCAGCAGAGTCACTCCATTACAAGAAAAGACTAAGGGAATGCTAATAACACATGTCTGGAGTATAATTAGACATAGATCCAGAAAGGAAAGCAAATCGTTTCAGAAATGAATTTGTGTACTTAAGAGTCTGTTTATAGCATTTAGTAGTTTATTAGATTTTACTGATTTTGTCTTACAAATTCAGTTTGAGGCCGACAGGCGTGCTTTTATCATCACTCTTAACTCCTTTGGCACTGAATTGAGCAAAGAAGACCGGGAGACCCTCTATCCAACCTTTGGCAAGCTCTATCCTGAGGGGTTGCGGCTGTTGGCTCAAGCAGAAGACTTTGACCAGATGAAGAGCGTAGCGGATCATTACGGAGTATGTGATGACACTGGCTTCCCTAAGTCCCTTGTGTTAGTTCATTTCCATGTGCTTTAGAAGTTCACACATCAAATGTCCACTTATACTCAAAAGAAGTAATAATATTTGTAAGGTAGCAAGCAGTGTCTTTTGCTGAAATGATCTCTCCCAAAGAAACACGTTAAGTTTCTAGCCCAAGCTACTAATTTTTAAGGTTCCTGCCAAGCAAGTACTTGTTTAAATCTCCAAGGAATGGTCATCTGAGCACTCCTTTGAAGTGTTTGCTAAAGCAAGTTCCCCCAGGAGACTGATGCAGTGTTCTGGAAATGTGAGCTCAAATCAAAGTTATTATGTAAAACAGTCTGACCAGCAGCACTTTCAGGTACACACTGGGGAAACAAGGTTAGGCACAGAACATCTAGGTGGACTACAAGGAAGAATAAGGATGTATTAGTTTTTCCACTCACTTTGCTGAGTGGCCAGAAATCAGGAGAGGAATGACAGCTGCTTGTGTCCTTCCCCCACTCCAGCATCCAGCTGCTCTTGCCTGAAGCTGCTCTGCTCAGGGTTGTGCACCTCAGCACAGCTTCCATTCCCTCTGACTCGCACGCAGCTGCATAACCTCCAGGTAACTTTTCTGGGTCTAGAATGACACTCATCTTTTCCTGTGGATTTCTGAAGCACTCTAGGAAAGACGAAAGTCAGCAAATGCATAAACCTTTGTGACATCTCATATGCAATTGCATGAGACTCTATAGCATAATATTCAAATTTGAGCTTCTCCCAAATTCCACACTGGAAATTGCATGTGAATTTTATCAATTTGAATCTCAAAGAACCTACGTACCCATACTGATCAAATTATGAACATTCATTGAGCTTCTCTAATGTACCTAGCTAGCCCTAAGACCCTCAGTGAGAAAATAAGCTCAGACATTGTATATTGAGAGTGGAATTGCCTTGTAGCCCTGAACAAGCCAATAGGCTAGAATTTCATCCACACTTTTATTACTTGGATTTTTTTGTTGTTTCTTTGGGAAGCCAAAATCCTATAAAAAACATTCAGTTCTTCTGGCATAGTTTTTTTTTATATTATGTGCACAATTTATCTAATGCTAGGAAAAATATACGTATGTACATTTATAAGAAATGAAAATGTTCTTAAAATTAGTGTCTTTGTTTTTAAGGTATACAAGCCTTTATTTGAAGCTGTAGGTGGCAGCGGGGGAAAGACACTGGAGGACGTGTTTTACGAGCGTGAGGTACGATGTAAGCAGACATGCCGTTAGCTTGTTTTTCTCTTGCTGTGTATTTCATGTATTTTCTTACTTTGGGTTTTGTTTTTACAGCTGATCATGCCAATTGATTAGGCACACTCATAGTTTGATAGTCAGTGTGTATTATTGACCCTACCTTGAAGAGGCAGGGCCTCCTGGCTCACATATGATAGCTTTCCATGGAAATGTTCTGTCCAGACAGAGGTGCACACAGTGAAGCTCTGGAAGAAATGCAGCTACTCCAAAATTAGTGAACTAGAGAAGCAAAGCTAGAGCATCCTCATGATCAAATATCAACTGTCTTCATTCTGGTACAATTCACTCTAATCCATCTCTTCCTCGAGAAGAGTTTATCCAGCGGGGTGTGGTGGCTCACGCCTGTAATTCCAGCACTTTGGGAGGCCAAGGCAGGCAGATCACTTGAGGTCAGGAATTCAAGACCAGCCTGGCCAACATGGTGAAACTCTGTCTCTACTAATAATACAAAAATTAGCCAGTCATGATAACACTTGCCTGTAATCCTAGCTACTCAGGAAGCTGAGGCAGGAGAATTGCTTGAACCTGGGAGGTGGAGGTTGCAGTGAGCTGAGATCACACACTTGCACTCCAGCCTGGGTGACAGAGCGAGACTCCATCTTAAAAAAAAGAAAAAGAAAAAAAAGCTTATCTATGGTTATAACTCATGGGCACGATTATAATGCTTAGGAATTGATCATATGGAAATCCATCCAGAGAGTCTAGATTATTCTATCTGCACACCCCCACCCCCACAAAGAAGCAAAAGTACTTGATCCATTTAGACAATTCCTGGGAGACTCTACTGTTCAACAATAATGGCTTTTTGTTTGTTTGTTTTTGGTATGAAAAAGGTCCCCCGAATCCACAGATTTTCTAATATGTTCCATTTATTTATCTGAAACCATTGGCCCTTCCATCTCAATCTGATCGAAATTAACATAGAACCCTGAAAATTACCCAAACTTTAGGGTTAGACTGGTTTCAGAGTGGTTAGGGAACCTTCCTAAAGACCTATGTTTTAGACATTTTCCAACAGCTCTCTAGTGTCTGTCATAGAAAGATGTAAAAACAAATGCAAATTAATTGATATAGTAGGGTTGCTTTAAGATTCCACACTATCAGACAACTGCCGAAAAAGAGGCTATTAAGAATGCAGCCTTTGGTGGGAAAAATGAGTGTCTACTCCTGACAGCAGATACAGCTTCCTTTCCCTGCCTACTTTGCTCAAGATTTTCGGAGGTGCACGAGGGACTCAGTACCTCCTCTTCTTTCCACTCTAAATATCAAAACAGAAAAGAATAAAGGAGTTGTTATATTCTAGACTTTACTCCAGTTTTTTTAAGGTTGTTTTTTTAAAAAATTTTCTTGGTCTCACCTAACTTCTATAGAAAAAAAATACAATTAAACTATATGTAAAGTTGCTACAGAGCATTCCAAGAAAGCTCATAATATCGCTTAGTCTAAATTCCAGAGACCTGTGGCATTGCCCTGGAAGGGAGTTAGACTAAGCCTAAAAACCTATTTAAGCTTTTAAAAGTTGTGGCCAACAGGAAATACTTTATCTAAATGAGATATGTCCACTAGCTAGAAGCCAGGTAAGTATTAGTACAAAGTTACACACACCTAGGAATCTTTGAGCTAGCAGTGCTGCTAAAATTTGGAGCTTTTCTTGTGATTCTACAAACTTACTTTTATAACCTTTGTTGTCTGTATTTATCTGCAGGGTGACACTCTCGCGTTAGAACTTTCTGAGTTGCCACTGTACTCCTCTATCTGGCCCAATTTCGACATTGTCTATTTAAACACAAATAAGCACTGCACAAGTACAAGCCAGTCTGTAGCTTGATATTATTTCATAAACATAGTATGTTCCAAATTAGCTGATAGTCTGTGTTACCTTTTTTCTTTCCTCAGGTACAAATGAATGTGCTGGCATTCAACAGACAGTTCCACTACGGTGTGTTTTATGCATATGTAAAGCTGAAGGAACAGGAAATGAGAAATATTGTGTGGATAGCAGAATGTATTTCACAGAGGCATCGAACAAAAATCAACAGTTACATTCCAATTTTATAACCCAAGTGAAGTTCTCAAATGCAGAAAATTATACATGTTAAAAAGAGGTTATTGAAGAAAAGAAAATAAATTTTATTATCTAGGCTACACAAAAGCAAGGCACCCTGCATCTTCATGAGTTGCAAATCCATAGAAACACAGTAAACCAGCACTGAAAGAAAGCATTTACTTGTTTTCAGTGGCATTCGATCTTGTTTCCACATGTCTGTCTCGTTCTTCACTGGGCCTTACAGGTTAATTTTAATTAACTCTATGGCACTTTTCTTATTCTTGTTTGATCATGTTAAAAATTGGACCTAATAAAAATATTTTATTCTTGCTTTTCCATGCTTCTCTACAGGCCCAAATACTGAATGCCTCCTTTTTTAAAATTTTTTCTAGAGAGGGTGTCACTCTGTCACCTAGGCTACAGTGCAGTGGTATGATCACAGCTCACTGCAGCCTTGACCTCCCAGGCTCAAGTGATCCTCCCACCTCTCAGCCTTCTAGGTAGCTGGAACCACAAGGGCACACCACCACACAAGGCTCATTTTTGTATTTTTTGTAGAGACATGGTTTCATCATCTTACCCAGGCTGGTGCTGAATTCCTGGGTTCAAGTGATCCACCCACCTTGGTCTCTCAAAGTGTTGGGATTAGATATGTGAGCCACTGTGCCTGGCTTCATTTATATGTTAACTTTCTGTTCCTTGCCTGGATCCACAACAATCCAAAGCTGTATGTAGCCAACATGGATCACATTTAATGGAAAATATGTGTTTTGTTTTGTTTTTCTAATATACTTTGATCCAGTCAGCTTAAGAAAGCGACACAATTCCAAATTCTATCCTCTAGATGCAAGCAGTGTTCAATTTGTTAATAAATTTGTTTTTCTTAAATTTCTTTAAATAAAAGGTATATTTCTTTCTTATGGTTTCTTCCTTCTTTACATGAGATGAAAATGACCTCCTTAATTGTAGTTCACTCATTCAAAAATCGCAGGTTCAGTTTGCAGAGTATGAATTCTCTATTAAAACCTCAGTAGAACTGGTGCATAGAGCTACCAGGAAAAAATAAAGCAACAAAACTCTGCTCAAGTCCTTCCTTTAAATATAAAATATATTCCTAAATGTAAAATCTACATTTGCTATGTTTTAAAAATTAAACTTGTATATATTTGAAAATTCTTCAAAACAGAATATTTACAGAGTATACAAATATTGATACCTAGAATTAGATGTATAGACCAAGAAATAAATAAGATTTTCTGCAAAATTCCAACTTTTTTGGTTAAATATTTTAGTAATTTCAGTGATAGAAACTTTTTTGTTGTCGTTGAAACACGGTCTTGCTCCATCACCCAGGCTGGAATGCAGTGGTGGGATCACAGCTCACTGGAGCCTCGACCTCTCGGGCTCAAGAGATCTTCCCACCTCTCAGCCTCCCAAGTAGCTGGAACTACAGGTGTGTGCCACCACAACTGGCTAATTTTTTTTTTTTTTTCTTTTTTAATGTAGAGATAGTGCCTTGCCCAGACTGATTTTGAACTCCTGGGCTCAGGCAGTCCTTCCACCTCCATTTCCCAAAGTGCTAGGATTACAGCCACGATGCCAGGCTGATAGGAACTTTTAGGCATATGGTAAAATAGTGGCTCATAGAACTAGGAGGAAAGCCAAGTGCCTAGCTTCACATCTATGCAGGAGGCCCAGCCCACATCAGTATCCTGAAGGTATCTGAGGCACCCCCTGGTGGGCTCCAGTGCAGACCCATCAGCTGGAACCAAAGTAGCCGCTGACCAAGTGTGGCCCCTGGACTGGAAAGCATCTTCCCCTCCTTGCTCAGGATGCTGTCCTTCACAGGAGGGCTTGGACTCAGAAACACCTCTACTGTACATTTTAACCTGTGGTCTCTGGCGATGGGTTTAAGGCTTAGGGCTCCCTTAAAGATTGGGAGAAAAGACACTAATGGGAAAGGGGTGGCTTAAAGAAAGGCACAAGTTGATTCTCAGACTATCCCCTTCCCACCCACCTCTACATGATATGGGTAGGGACGTTTATGTACCACAAGGCTGCAGGCTGAAGTTAAATTCCATTTCCCTGGATATAAACAGAAGATTCCAACTCCTTTCTCAGCCACCCAAGAATCCAACCATTATGTGAATATAGAAGAGAGGAACTTCCCTAATCCCTTGAGGCAAGTAGAAAGTGCCCCTAGCATGGATAAGGAGGTAAACATTGCAATTTTAAAAACTTGCCTTGAAGTTTCTTAGCCTTTAGGGGCTAAGCAGGGATCTGACTGCTCCGTCATGCCTCAGGGAACTGGGTTGCAATGGAAAACACGGACCTTTGAAAAACTTCTTACAAAATAAGGCCCAAAATTTCAGATAACTAAATGGAACTTGGAAAACAGTAAGGGAAAAACTAATTTCTTGGGCAGGGAACAGTGGCTCACACCTGTAATCCCAGCATTTTGGGAGGCCAAGGCAGGTGAATCACTTGAGGTCAGGAGTTTGAGACCAGCCTAGCCAACATGGTAAAACCCCATCTCCACTAAAAGCACAAAAATTAGCCAGGTTTGTGGTGATGTATTTGTGTAGTCCCAGCTACTTGGGTGGCTGAGGTGCGAAGATGGCTTGAGCCTGGGAGGCGGAGGTTGCAGTGAGTCAAGAAAATTATTTTTTTTTTCTTTGAGATGGAATCTTGTTCTGTCACCCAGGCTGGAGTGCAGTGGCATAATCTCGGCTCACTGCAACCTCTGCCTTCCAGGTTCAAGTGATTCTTCTGCCTCAGCCTCCTGAGTAACTGGGATTACAGGCGCCTGTCACCACACCCGGCTAATTTTTGTATTTTTAGTAGACACGGAGTTTCACTATATTGGCCAGGCTGGTCTCGAACTTCTGACCTCATGATCCACCCACCTCAGCCTCCCAAAGTGCTGGGATTACAGGCGTGAGCCACCGCACCCAGCCTTGATCTAAGTAGCTGAAGCTGAGGCTCCTCACCATCGCTTCTCCACCCCCCTCCTGAACATTTCATCCGTCCTTCAGATTCCCTCCTCTATGTGCTGCCGTTACAGTCAGAACATTATATTTCAATTAAACTCTAGACTCAGAATTCTTGGTGGTCTGCAGCCAGTCCTGCCTGTAGTCTGAGGGTCTCCAGCCTTCTGCTTCCAACCATTGCTCTCAAGGGTTCACAAATCTTCTATTAGCCTATCTGTGAGCAGAATTTCTTAGTTCTCCAATGACAGTTTGCAGTTGCAGAATTGTGTTGCTCTATGGGATACAAATGTAGCAGTTGCAATTCTCAGGACATTTGGAGAAGATTTCTGAAGAATTGCAGTCGTTTTGGTTGCTCAGAGCTTTAGGAAAGAGGAGCACTGACTGAGGGCTGGTGGATATACTGAATTTGAGTTTGGCCCAAAGCTAAAGTATTATTGGGCAATGACAGAATTCTGATAAGCAACCTGGAGGGCCCCCACCCACTCCACAGCATGGCGACAGTGTAATAGGGCATTGGGAGGCTAAAAGAAATATTCATAGGCCTGGTTTACACCTATACACCCAGCACTTTGGGAGACCAAAGCGGGCAGATCACTTGAGGTCAGGAGTTTGAGATGAGCCTGGCCAACATGGAGAAACCCCGTTTCTACTAAAAATACAAAAATTAGCCAGACATGGTGGCGCATACCTGTAATCCCAGCTACTCAGTAGGTGGAGGTTGCAGTAAGCTAAGATCATGCCACTGCACTCCAGCCTGGGTGACGGAGCAAGGCTCAAAAAAAAAAAAAAAAAAAGTAGAGTGAGGAAGTCTTGGTGATAATTTTTAAGTCTACCACTTAAAAATGCTGTGAATAATGTCTTATATCTCACAGACAAGACACAGGAAAGATGCATTCACAATTTCACTCTGTTCTGTCTCAGTTACTCTCAGGAGCAGACAAAATTCTCCCCGTTGTATGATTCATTTTATTGGGAGGCTGAGGCAGGAGAATTGCTTGAACCTGGGAGGCGGAGTTTGCAGAAAGATCGTTCCATTGCACTCTAGCCTAGGACACAAGAGCGAAACTCCATTTCAAAAAGAAAAAGAAAAACATACAAAATGAGGCCCGAAAGTTCAGGGACTGTATGTGGAGCATGGCCAACAGTGAGGCAAAAACTAATTTCTTGGGCAGGGTGCAGTGGTTCACACCTGTAATCCCAGCATTTTGGGAGGCCAAGGCAGGTGAATCACTTGAGATCAGGAGTTTGAGACCTGAGGTCAGGAGTTTGGAGTCAATTTCTCTTCACTTCAGCAAATGGAAGCACTAGTACTTATATCATCTTCATTATTCCATCTGGCCTTCCATCAGTGGTTTTTCCACTGGCTCCCCCTTTCTCCTCAGCCTCCTGTGTTGCAGTTTTCAACTTCCCCAGCTTACTGAACTTGTATATTCAGTAATTGAAATCCAACTCATCACAGCCCTACTCGACATGGATGGCTCAACATCTGGCTTCTTACGTACGGGAGCCCAGGTTAGAGTTATCTTTGGAATGAAAGCAGAATAAGCAAAGAAGATCTGCATAAAAACCACTGTGAATATCAATATATTAGAAAGGAATTGTCCCCAGAGAATTACCACTCTAACTAGATCCACAAATGCCATTCAAAACCAGGCTCACTGATAAAATATAAACATACATCAGTAACTCTATGGCAATAGCAGACTTCTGGTATTCAGACTACCGGTACTTGCTGGTGGGATGGATCTCTTATCCCAGCACCAGACTCGTTGACACTGAGTTGAGCTCTTCAGTGATGAATGTCATTATTATCTTTATCTTTTAAACAAATAGCAATTCTAGATTTTAAATAATTTATACATTTTCTGATTCCACTTTTGTATGTTAAAAAAAAATTAAAGCATCTATTTAACTACTCAGTTGTTAATGCTAAGATGTACATTTCATTGTGTAAGATGCTCACCATTTCATATTTCGGGTTTATTTCAACTTGGGTTTAAAAATATTTTGTTTTCATATGAATGTAAGAGGGGATACCAATATATTTCAGATAATTTCTATAATATCATAAATTTTAAAAAATTAAAAGATTATTTTGAAAATAAAAACAAACTTAGAACTCAGATGTAATATCTTCATGGTTCAATTTTTTTAAATTCAGTAATATATTTATTAAGATTGGCTTGGATGGGTGGGTGACCAGGAATCCCAGCTACCAGTGTCCAGATCATGGATTTGTACAAAAGGATTCACCCTGGCTGTATGATCACAGTTGTATACGCTGAATAAATCCCTCAGAGCCTCAAATGCTTTTCAGTAGGTGGATCATAAGGAAGTTCT